GGGCCACCAGGTGGCGCCGGCGACATCATCGGCGTCGGGGTGCCTTGGCTGGCACCACCCATACTGTACGGCGACGCTCCTGCAAAAGCTGCTGTAGAAACAATCGCGGTGCATACAAAATTCGAGGGTGCGTCTTTTTAAGTTCTTCCGCTTCACCGATACATTTCGTTTATCGTAAAAAATATAAGTAAACTCGTTTCTAATTTTTATTGTAATCGGTGGCGTTGTTGATTCTGATTTTTTGTTTGATCTCATTTTTATCTTTAATCTTTTCGAGATTAATAATAGGATGATATATTAAAAGAAAATCGTGAAATTGTTACGATTTTTTTAATATAATTGATATATAAGAGAATTGAAACATAGAGATTATATATTGGAGTGGAATGAATTTTTAATAGTGAATAAAAATAAATATTAAATTAATTAATTCAAAATTTACTTCTCTGTGTTTGATTTGAAAAATTTATTACAAGTTATATAAATTCATTACTGGAACACGTTATATAATTTTGACTTTTTCATTTCAGCTTATTCATCTCATTTCAAAAATTAATTACAATATTGTATTCATGATCAAAAGAAAAATTCTCCCAGAAAGAATTAATAATGGAATATCAAAATTTTAACTTTCGACATTTTTTTGTTACAGACGCCACTGATCAATCAAATCGACAAATGTATCATTGGATCATCTTCAACATACCGCAGAAAATGAACGAATTATCGGTTGAAAGCGAATTTTTAATCAACTTTCAAATTATTCAGAGTACACGAAACGATATCAAGTTTTAAATATCAGTGTGGAAATTAGTTTAGTTATATACCAGCGTAATAGGAGCAATTTTTACTTTGAAACGTGAAAACATTTTCGCTATTCGAAACAAAATATCGAGGAATTCGCCAATGTTGGCGCCATTATTGTTGGAATTCCGTTTCTTTAATTACGAGAAGACTGCGTTTACCGGAAAGAGCATTGCTAAGGAAAGATAAACACAGGAAAGGTGTCGAAAGAAACGCGAGAATCTCATCGCCCTTCCCATGTATCCTCATCCTCGTCTTCTCATTTTTCGCTCCCTCTTTCTCAGTATAATTAGTAAGTTAAAAATATCTCGCCTTGCCCTCTAAAATAAAGAGACGTCGCTGTAGTTAAGAAAAGTACGCGTAATTGCAAGTTGTGTGAATGCGAAGAATTTTCAGAGGGTATATCCATGGAATTTTTTTTTTCTTCATTCTTTTCTCAAGAATGCAAAAATCCAAATAGAAACGAATTAAAATAATGATATTGAAGAAAATCTATCTATTGTTATGGTTAAAGGAGATATGTTAAAATGGATAAAATATGTTAATTGCAAAAAGTTAAATGAATTTTTTTTTTTTTT